AGATTCTCCTCTAAAAGGTTCCAAGGAATACAACCTATTGACTCATTTTTGTTTTTCTGATGTCCAGACTGTAAGATAATAAATTTGTATTGTTTTAAGCCACTGGAGTTGGGGTAATTTGTTATAGCAGTAATGGGAAACTAATACAGAGATGGAGAAGATAACTTATTGGAATAAAGTAAAACATTCTCAAATTAAAAATACTCAGAAGCTGGGTGCGGTGGCTCACACCTGTAATCCCAGCCACTCTGGAGGCTGAGGCAGGAGTTATCCTGAGTTCAAAGTCAGCCTCAGCAACAGTGAGGCACTAAGCAACTCAGTGAGATCCTGACTCTAAATAAATACAAGTATATTAAAAAAAAAAAAAAAAAAACCTCAGCGGGCTGAGAGAGTAACTCAGTGATAGAGTGCATACTCAGCATATATGAGGCCCTGGGTTCAATTTCCAACCTACCCCTCTCCTGATACTGCCTGGCAATGTGTTGAGGATTTTGCATCTGATAAAAGCAATTTAGCAAATAGTTGTGTGTATGTATGTAATGAGTAATTCAAAAAGGTGATATTAGGACAACTGCCTAACCCGTTTTAAAAAAAACATGAAGGTCGATCTCTGTCCTGGTATACTGGAATTATTTCCAGATGGATAAATTTCAGGAAATACGAATAACTTTAATTGAGAAAAATGCAAAATCAAGAAATGGCACAGAAGATGTGAGTAATGGTAACTCTCACACTTAGTTAAATTGGCAACAATTATTTAAAGTAAGAATGCACAAACATTTTGGCCCCACAAATTCATTCCCAGGAATTGACCTTAAAGAAAATACTTCGATATAGGTATAAAGTTTTGTAACAAAACAAAACAAAAAACCCAAACATTCTTTAAAACATTATTTGTAGTAGCACAGAACTAGAAATGACCCAAATGCCCATTCGTTAGAGAAGGCTAATTACATCATGGGACAGCCCTTAGAAAGAGACAAGTATCTGTATGTTCTGTTGAGGAATGATCCCCAGATACATTGGTAAGTGAAATATAGTAGGTATAGCATAACCTGCTGTGTTCAGGAGAAAGAGATATACTATTTTAGCTTATACATGCAGAGGAAATTCTGGAAGTGTCCCATGGATGATTACTAGTGCTTACCTTTGGGGAGTGGATTGGAAGTAGAAGGAAATCTCTGGTTTTAAAACTTTTACATTTTCTGTAAAGTTTTCTATCTCAGGATTGCTAAGTTGGGTTATCTGCTCTGATCTTTAGCCAACAAGAAAAAGAAAGAATTTCTACAAGTGAAGAGGGAGAAAGCCATGCAGACAGAGTGACACACTGGGCCACTGCCTCAGAGGTATATCTATTTGATTTTTTAAAATAGTTTTTTTTTTTTTTTAAAGTACATTTAAAGTTGTTTTGTGCTTAAAGGAAGGCTAAGCCACAGAATTCTAAACTTATTGGAAAAATGTATTACATTTCTTTAAAGATTTAAATTCTTTAAATTTACTTTTTTTGTTTTTCTTTGCTTTAACTGAGGCATGAAGATTACAGATAAAAAGATGAAATTGCCCCTTAATTGTCTAGCTAAGGCAGACAGATATCTAACTGGGGTGTCATGTCAGAGACCAGCTCAGGACTCAAACTTGTCTGAAAGCCTTGTACATTGAATGCTCCACCTCACCAGCTTAAGCAACAAAATCAAGTCATTTTAAGTCACGTGGTTTTTTTAAAGTTAAAATTCATATCACTCCAGACTCTATCTAGCACGTGAAAACCAACTTTCCTTTGGGGTTCTTTTCCCTTATATATCCCCAGTGATTCCAAAGTTACTCAAATTTCTTTCAAAGGGGTCCTCTCAAGCTACTGATAGTAGGGTGGCCAGTGAGTCAGCCACAGTGCCCAGGCAAAGCTTATCTTCCAGTAATGCTGCCCAGGGTCATTGCCAAGGCCCAGGCGGCTGAGTTAGGCTGCATAGGCCAGAATAAATGCCTATTCCCTCCTGGCCCTCGCTATCCAGGGTTAGGAGAGAAGGCTGGTCCTTGCCTGTCAACAGCCTCCAACTATGGACACAGCCTTTATACTCACACTCCAAAGCACAGCCAAGGGCATGTTGAAGACACAGGAAAAAAAAAAAAATCAGTCAATAGCTGCATCTGCTAATATCCAGTAATGTTTGAGGCCACTTTAAAAAAAAAAAAAAAAGCTAACTCCCAACTATTAAATTATCTTAACTATGTTTCTTAGGTGTAGATCAGGTATAAATTCCTTATTGTCATATCGTTCTATGTCTATAAAGCTAAAGTAGTATGATAGATGATGCTGTTTTATTGAAATTTAATTCTCTTGGGCTGAGAATATTGAACTCACTGCTATGGTTATAGTTGTTACCACATACAAAATGATTCAAATGATTCAGAACAGGCATTAAAATATAATAATTTTAAAAAGAACAATTTAAATAAGAGCAAAACTTTACATTGATAGAGAATTTGCAAATTGACTTTCTTTGACTTCTGTTTAATGAACAGTGGTCTACGCTTTTGCTACTCTAAGGTGGTCCAAAGACCAATGAACTTCTTAGAAATGCAGAGTATCAGGCCCTACCTTAGACCTAGTGGATTAGACCTGCATTTTAATGCGATACTCAGGTTATGGATATGCACATTGAAGTCTAACTTATTATTCCCCAGTTCAGTCTACAATAAGCCAGTATGGAGATGGATATATTCTAAAGCTCTCTCTCTCTCTCTCTCTCTCTCTCTCTCTTTGTAGTTGGACACAATACCTTTATTTTATTTGTTTGTTTTCATGTGGTGCTGAGGTAGATTTACGTGAACTTAGAATTTTCTTTTTTTTTTATCTTATTTTTTAGTTGTAGTTGGACACAACACCTTTATTTCACTTATTTATTTTTATGTGGTGCTGAGGATCGAACCCAGGGTCTCGCACGTGGGAGGCGGGGGCTCTACCGCTGAGCCACAATCCCAGCCCAAGAATTTTCTAAGAATAACAGTAAGTGACTCCAATGGCCCATCCTGGTGACTTTCACTAAGGATGTTCCATTCAGGAACTTATTTAATTTATATGAATTATCCAGAGTAAGCAAATCCTAGAGACAGAATATAGCTTAGTGGTTGTTAGGGACTTGGAAGAGGAGGAAATGGAGAGTGATTGCTAACAGATATAAGATTTCTTTTGGGGGGTAGAATTAGTAGTGATAATTAGTAGTGATAGTTTATGATAGTTTATTTTAGGTGGAATTAGTGGTGACAGTTGCACAATTTTGTGAAGATTCTAAAAAGCACTGAATTGCATACTTTAAAGGGTAAATTTTATAGTATGTGAATTATATATCAATTTTTAAGAAAGTGGCTTCATACTTTTCTTAAAGAACAATAGATGAATATGAGGCTTATGTTTGTTTATCTAAAGGGCTCATCCTGAGGAGTTTCCCAAAACAAAGGATGTCTTTCTCCAAGCCCTCATCAATGCTGAGACTCCAGATATATTTATGGTACACGTCAGATTTATGTTTTATGTAAATATAGACACTGTGGTTTACAGATGAGGGCAGAAGGAATGAGCTGCAGGGGGAGGGTCTGAAGATGGAAAGGTTGGTTGGGACTAGTTGCCAAGCTCTATAGGGCATCAATAAGGGCAATTTAGACCTGATTAATATCACTGATAATATCCAAACTACCAGATTTAGAAGGCGAGGAAGAGTGTGCTCCATTTTAAACATCTTCCTGAAATCCTACCGTGAGAGATTCAAACATTTCATTCTATCAACAACACTTTTTTTTTTTTTAAACCAGGCAGTGTAATCAAACATTATAAAGGATATAAAGATGACTGAGAGGTCCTTTCCCTTCAGTGGAAGTAGTGATCAGACCACGGAGTCGTGGTATGACCTGCACAGAGCTAAGTACTGTACAATAAAATGTATATGATGATAAGAATCAAAGGAAGATATAAACTTAGAGCTCTCTGTGTCAAAGGAGGAAGAAATTACTTTTTACTCTTGGTGGTATTCCTTTCTGATCTTTTGTTGGAGGATAAAAGGATATTGATAGGTGGATTTGGGATGGAGAGCATTTTATAGAGTCAACAGCATGAACAAAGGCATCGAAACTGGAGACTTAGAGGCAAGAATGCATATTTAGGGAAGGATGAATGAGCACTGGCTAGACAAGAAATCTGGAAAGAAAACTAAGTAGACGAGGTAAAGCAGAAAAAAATATGAACTGACGCGTTTTCTTTTTCAAATGGCAAAACTAGGGAGGGGGGTGAGAGGAAGAGAGTCAGTCTTTCACAGATTGGTACACATTTCCCTGACTGGCAAATAGCCATTGTGTTGACTTGAAGGGAAAGTAATTTTTGAAGGAACATTTTTATAAAGGCCGGCTGTAGTAGGGTGGAAGCTATGAGCAAGGAGAAGGAAGAAGACGCCTGGCAACTGGGGAGGGTACCAGCAAATATGAGGCAGAAGGGAAGTGCGACGGTCAGGTCCCTGTGTCTTTCATTTAAACTAAGATCATAAGCCCATCTGTCCTATCACTAATAGGTTTGTATCCCAATAAAATATGAAAATTCCTGACGTGATAATATTAAATGCGCATTTATTAGAGTGAATTAATTCGATTTTAAAAAACACTGTGTTCCTGGTACATAGAGGGCACCTAACGTTTTATAAATTAACCTTGTTTGGGCTTTGTTTTGGAGCCTATATTTAGGAGAGTATTCAAAACTGCACCTCAAATTTTCAATCTACTATTAGTATTGATATTGGGATGCCCTGGTACCAAAAGATCTGCTTCTCCCCTTTAACACTTTAGTCTCTGGCCCCTCCCATGGGTCCCTAGGATCCTTAGGTACAGCGGCGGCGGGGTGGGGGCGGGTATTGCAGTTCGAGCAGCCAATCACAGCGCGGAGAAGGGGTGGGGCCACGGCGTCCCGTCTCTCCTCCTAGACCGCCCACCCCACCTTCCCAAGACCCGCCCCTCTCACACCTGCGTGTCCCTCTACTCTGGGGCTGGTGTAATCTCTATTCCCTGCGCTAGCAGGGAAGGGGCGTGGCCTCACCTCTCGCGAGACCGCCTCCTGTTGCCTTTGCCGCTGCTCCTGGCAGCTGACTGGTCGCGCTTGCGCAGCCGCCATGTTCGGTTGCTATGCTGCGGCCTAGGAGACCGGTTGTGCTTGAGGGAGGAGGAGGAGACGGAGACGGAGGAGGAGGAGGAGGAGGAGGAAGAAGAGGAGGCGGAGAAGGAGGGGGGTGACTGAGCGCCTCTTGCACTCTCACACACAAATCCTGCCCAGGATTGCCCGCCCGCTCCAGGCGTGCTTCGCGCTTTTCCGCTCCTCATCCCCCCCCCCCACATTGTTCTCTCAGGACTCCTGGGTCCCCAGGGGCTGAAACTGGGCCTGAGCTGGGGCGGGAAGAGATTTGGCTTTGGCCGGAGGGTCAGAGATCTGGGGCCAGGCCCCCCGCCCCAGATCCCCTCCCCCACGTCGCTTTTTGGGGGGTGTGGATTATCTCATCCCCGCAGGGAGGTGGGAGAGGGCGCCCGGCTGCCCGCCTCCCTGCCACTTCCCGGGCGGCGCTGGCCCGCGGCAGCCCCGCAGCATGAGGTGGTGCTGGCGGCTCCCGGCCGTGGCACGGCCGCCGCGGCGGCTGCTGCTAGGGGAGCGCTGAGGGAGCCCCCGGAGCGGCGCGGCGCGGCGCGGCAGACGCGCTTCTCCCGGGTGCGTCCGGGCCTCGAGGTTTTTTTTCCTAAAGCCGAGAGGACGCGGCTGTGATACGAAGGTAAGAGGCTCTTGGGTGCCCGCCGGCCTTTCGGCCCTGCACGTTGTATGCGAGGTTGTTACCTGGGGCATGTGAGGCTCTTGGAGGTGCCAAATAGGGCAAACCGGAGGTACAGGGTTGATTTAAAAGGAAGGAAATAAGGACGCTTCTTTTTTTGCTTTTTCCTGGGACCTTTGCTCTTGGAGTTCCCAACGTTATAGTTGAAATCTGTTATGGGTGAATGAAGGAACAAGGGATGGAATACGTACGAAGATGGAACGTTTCGCGGTGCCTGAACTCTATGTAAGGCTTTAGACTCTTCATAGACTTTTCCATTGCTGGTAGAATTCTCGGTAGATTTTAAAAAATTGGCTCAGGAGCGCTTCTTGCTTGCTGCAGGAGCACACTATCTCTACTATTCAAATTCTAACCTTCTAATGCTTCTACCAGTATATGCTAGTATTTAGAAATCTGTAGTTGGGCCAAAAAAGTTGAGATATAGCTAAATAGATGAGCCGATGCATTTCCCAGGGTTTCCTTAAAATGGAACAGTTTACAGTTGCACTGATGTACGTATGGATATTTCTGCGAAACTTAGAATGGGAGACTGTGTCTGGGTTTGCATCATAGAGTGACATCAGTATGCACAAGGACGATTTGCAGGATTTTTCAAAGCCTTGTTCTAGGAGGACCTGACATCTGCAACAAACCAGCTGCTTTTCGAATATGAAATTTAATATTAAGTTTTTGTGACGAAATCTTGAGCCCACTTGAAACGGCACAGCACAATAAAACATTTAAAACATATCTATGGAGGAAAAAAAAGTCAGTGTATCCGTCTTGTAATAGAAGATTTGAGTAGAAAGAAGACTGGTACAGTAAAAGCCAGGGCATTTTAAAATCCTGGCTTCCTGAAGCTTAGTGTGCCAGAGGGAGGAAATTATTTCTCATTTTTTAAGAGGGGGAGGGGATGACCTTAAAATAAATGATTATTCAGAGCCCCAAATGTCCTTAATGGAATAGAGCTAGATACATCAGTTAAATCTTGAATTTGATAAGTTTAAATTGAACATTGTTTTAAAGGAAAAGAAAACTTTTGAAAGCAAAAGTTGTGTATGGTACAGAACTACTTTACAGACTCATAAGAGTTAAGTCAGTTTGTGGATACCACCATTTTTTTGTCAGAATAAATTTCTGCTCCACTTACCATAACAGCTATTTTTGCATCTCTTAACATTTTTATGGCCTACATATCTTTATTTCATTTTGCATTTACACATGTGCATGGTTTTATAATATGATCTTGAGTGATTTGTAAGAGCAACATGGTCTTTTTTGCATATAGTAATTGTGATTTAGCTAGTATGTTTTAGACATTTGGCAAGACATTTTGAACACAAGGAGACATCACTATTTTATAGTTTTTTAAGATATTGAGTAGGTTAGTTATTAATTTAGAAAACCAGGGATTCTTCAAAAAGCAGTAATAGATGAGGATGTGACTTTCTTATTGCCTGTTTTCTAAAATGTTAGCTGTGGATGGATTGTGTCAAATTTGTGTTTTTTTTTTTCTTATGTCCTAATTGAATATCTTTAAAATACCTCTAGTAACATGTTATTTTAAATGTATGACACCTGATTTCTAATTTAGGCTAGGCATAAAACCAGCATTGATTGAATGCACTTGCTAAAAATACTTTCTGGGTCAGATGTACTTAGAATGCAGCCTCAGGAAAATTCGTTTAGATTAGTCTGTGACCAATGTACACTTCATTATTATTAAAGGGTGTTAAAAAAGTACAGAATTTCACAAACTAAATTTCATCAGTTCAGACAAAGGTGCCTAACTTTTATTTTAATGTGTAAAGTAAAATAGTAATAAGTTTATGTGGGATAATAATTTTAAAAAGTTTTTTCAATTATTTTAAACTTATATGATCCCTGTAGACTTTTGTTAAACTCTGTGGTTTATATACTTGATATATTTTAGTTTCATCTATTAAATATAATTGAGTTGTATAGTGACAGTATGTGTGTGGAAATATTGTTGTTATTGGTCTAGTATTTATTTATGACTTTGTTTACACTCAAAAAGGGGATTGTTGACTATGTTGTTTTTTTTTGACCATGTTTTTTTAAGTGAATTATCTTTAAGGAACAAAGAGACTACCAGATAATTTCACAGAGGCACTGATATTGAGAATACTTTGTTTCGTCCTTCAGAGAGTTAATTTAGTCACTTTTAAACAGCAGGAATGCTTTTAAAAAATATTTAAGGATCTTAACTTGTTTAGTGGCTGTTTAAAGGAAAATGGTTAAAAGTTCTTGAATTCTTTGTTACTTATTAGGTATGCAAAAATCTCTGACCTCACTAGGAATGAAAGTCTGTATGATTTAATGGTGCTAAGTATGAGTTATTGCTCCTAAATAAAATTTGTTTATTGGTAGAAAAGCACTGGTTACAGACTGAATTGAATTGTTGTTTTTCTGGGTTATTGCATGTTATGAAGTTTTTTATATGCTATAGTCGAGGTAGATTAAATTTACTGGCTCACTAGAAGAAGCTGTGAAGCCTTGAAGATTGGCTTAGCATTCTGGAAATCCTTGTATTGTTTGCCAGGAAAGTACTGTAGGAGGAAGGTATTGTTATTTCTTCATTTAATATTCAATTAGTACCGATGGTGAGAAGGAATATAATGTAGAAGCACTGTAGGGTATTTATTGGTGTGGAAGTCAGTTGTTTAAGAACAGCCTAATTTATTGTATATCCTTTGCATGAGAAGTCGGTATAATCAAATATAAAATGGAATGGGGGAAAAGAGAAGGGAAAATTTGTCACACTCTCTGTGTTAGAGGTATTTTTCCCTCACATTAATTCTTTATTTCATTATTCCCAAGTAGAAATACTGGAAGAAAAGCTCAGGTTTTCATACTATGGACTATTTTGAGGGGAAGATATTAACTTGGGTGGGTTATTGTGTTTATATCTTTTAACAAGGAGATTATGTAGAGTACTAGGGGAAAAAAAAGACTCCAGAAGGGAAGAATAATAGTATTTATTATCTGTTAAGTGTCAGACAGTGTACAAGGGGTATTTCATGTTATTCCAGTTCATCATCAAGTATAATTTGTGAGGTAAGTATTATTAATCCCCTGTCCTCTCCTACCCCTGAAATAGAAGTAAAGAGAAATTAAATAACTTGTCCAGAGTCATACTCCTAGTAAGTGGAATTCAGACCACATTTGTCTTACTGTAAAGCTTATTCTTTAGATCAGGGCTGTCCAGTTAAGTTTTCTGCATTGTGGAAATATTCTTCCCTCATGTCCACACTTTAATGAGGTTTAATTGACAAATATGATAGAAATGTTCTTTTTCCGCACTGTTAGATATGGTAGCTATTAACCACGTGTGGCTGTGGAGCACTTGACATGTGACTAGTATGTGTGAGAAACTGAATTTAAAATTGTATTTAGTTTTAATCACTTTAAAATGTGGTTCACAGATGCTAGCCATATCTCGTCGCGAATGTGAAAGTGTTGGACAACACAGCCTTATATCTTGCTTCCTATGAAATCTGAGTTCTAGTATGTAATCTTCTACAAGTTTGTGTATGGCGTTAGGCATGTTACTTTGTTTTAGAGTCTCCATTTAACCTACTGTGAAAACAGTGGGGTTGCCATTAAAAGATTATTTCCAAGATCTCTTCTTGTAATTTTTATTAAATGTTCACTGGCTCTTAATACAAACATATCTGAAAGTCTCCCCTCTGCAGTGTGCCCATTCTTCATATAAGGATTTTTATTCAGTCATTTTCTTTTTGAGAATATGTATAAATCACACATAAAGAATAATGGATTACACACACAGTTGTTTGTTGAAAAGATTGGGTAATCCAAGGCAGTACTATATGTTGGAACAAAGTTTGAATCTTTAAAATATCATATTTCAGCAAGTCACCTTCCATTTAAGAATATGTAGAGTTCCCTGGTGCTTACCAAATTTATTCTGAATTTATCTGCTAGGCCTTGAAGACTTTCCCCAGTTTCATCTCACTAATGCTGTTTCTTATTTTTGTTTTAAAAAAGAAAACATTCTTGTTTTTCCCTCCATCATTTTTTCCTCAGTTTAACCATCCTGCAGTCCATCTGCCTCCTTTAAGCTGTTCTCAAAATTCACCTTTTCTGGAAGAATGATGCTTAATCCATTCTTAAAGATCAGGCTTTGAGTCCTGGTGACACCACCTGGGGTTAATATACTTGCTCAGATACAGTTTATTATATCTTCCTACAGCTTTTCTTGAGTTTTAATGTTACCTACTAAATGTAAGAAAATTAAAAACAAGGCTTTCTTAGTTTGTGTTGCTTTGAGTTTAGTTTGTTATTCAGTAATGCCCTTTTTAAAAGTTCCTGATTTTAAAAAGTGATAAATACTGTAACAACATTTATTGGTAATCACCATTGTAATATTTTTTATTCCTTCTGGATAGTTGTCAATACTTATTTATATTATATATAGATGTATAATATATAGACATATAGCATATATACCTGTATTTTTTTTTCCTGGAAAATTGTGTAGTCAAGATATAATTTTAAGTCAAATATAAGGGAAACAGATCTGGTTTGGAATCTAGTCTCAAAAACCTTGTGCATGTCAGAGAAAACATTCTACATTTTACCTAACTTTTGTATTTACATACGTGAATAGAGCACAGTGAATCCTAACATAAAGTATATCTACAAGACACTAATTAAAAAAAAAAGCTGTAAGTTGCATAAAGACCAGTAGGGTAGAGGGAAGAAAGGAGGGACTGAATTAGAGCAAATTATATTTTATGCTTTTGTGATTATGTCAAATGTATCCTAATGTTTTATATAACTACAAAGAATCATTTAAAAAAACCCTTGGGCAAGTTATGTAACATCTGAACCACTTGGCCTTTTATTGTGGAGATTAGGATAACATATATAAAGCATCTAGCACTGTGTTTAAATAGATGATCAATAAGTGGTAGTTGGTA